CCTCTCCTCCTCTCCCTGTATACACGGTTGAATTCGCACTCGGAAGCATAACTACTGGTGGTGGACATGGGGCACTAATGGTGGAAGTCTTCCAGCAAAAGGAAGTGCTATGATATGGTCTTGGCGACTGAACGATCGAATTGATTGGTCATTACGTATCTAGCCCACACTCGGACTGCAAGAGTATGACCCAACCCAAATGAGCTATAACCACACAGCATGGCCTTAAACGAGAAAAAAAAACTCAGCCCTCCTCCATTGCCAACTGTGGTAGTTAAAGGCTTTTTGTATGCAAAGCATATAACAGCAAACTTGACGCAAGCAAATGTCACCCCCTTACAACAAAAAGGAAAGAAATGATCGGGCAACTTCACTGGTGAAAGACACAAGAACTCGAAAAAGGAACATTGTTAACTTGACTCACGTCTGCTAGGTCCCATTTTGATGGATCAAAGGTGAAATTGTTGAATATCTGCTCGGAACCAGTATCAAAATGGAAACGATCCGAGCACGATACTCGCTTGTTTCGGTACGCAAATCTGAAATTGCTTAAAGAGCATCCTATATTCTGTCTCTGCATTGTTACAAATATATTAAGTTGGCGCACGTAGCGTTTTTATTTTGCACGAACACTGCACAGCTTGGTTTACGCCATTCAACCGAACTATGCAACGATTTTTGTCAACAATTTGCTTCTCAATATCGTTTGTCAAAGCATGACGTTTTCAACCACACCAAACGCAATTTGTGACTTTTTGTGCTTCGCAATGTCCAAAACAAAGCCAAACTTTTCAAACTTGGAAAATACTTTGTACGCTTTTCAGCAGTTATTTGCATGTTGCATAAGCGTTAACTCTCGCGGCTTGGTGTCCATTTTCTAAGCCTTATATCGGGATAGCGCTGGATCATTGAAGAAAGAGACGAATGGGCAATTGTACTGCAAAAGAATGACCTTCAAACAAAGTAAAACATTCAGGCTGAAACTAAGTGATTGAATTCAACGCACTGAAAAACGCTACGGCGTCACGCACAACGTAATAATAAAAACATGGCAGACTTTGGAAAGGACTGATTCTGAGAAAAGCAATGCAACCACGTACTGAACTTCTCCATCTTGATATAGCTCTCTCGCATTGAAATGAATCTGAACAAAACACGAACAATCGGCATCTAGTATAAACTCCAAACGATAGAGACTTGTTTCACTTCGAGAACCATTTTCGTCCTTTATCCTGGGAAAATAATCATACTCCACACACATAAGTTGTATATTCGTAAACTTTTTCGGGCTTTAAGCCACCTTCATACTCGGCGCAAACGGCGCGCTACACGAGTAATGCAATGCTTGCTTTGGAGGGCTTGCAAAATGAGCGCTTGGTGCAGAGTATGAAGGCGGCCCAAGAAAATACTTGAGTCCCTTATTCGCGAAAAGAAGAAAAGAATGAGAACTATCTCATACCTCACGAACTTCACAGACTCTTTCCTTATATTAATAAGCAGATGAAGCGGATGCACTTCATCACTACCAAGAGGAGAAGCGTAGGGAAACTACAACAAAACAATTACTTAAGCGAATGTTAGATCAAACGTAAAACATAACAATGAAATCAATTCAACAATATAATAGAGTTAACGATTCTACCAAAGGAAATCGGTCAGATTTCCAACAAGTCATCGCCACAATTCACGAGTATGCAAACTGCAGGATTGATGTACACTGTTCCAGTTTTATAGTAGGCCTAATGGATCTCCGTTGCCGAGTCAGAGCACTATTCTGAGCAGTGTCTGGCATCCTACCTAAACCAATATCCGCCCATAACTTGCGCCGCTGCAGCTAAGAAGCAAATGACAAAGGGATTACGCAAAACTACAGAAAACGATTGGCCACACTTCTGAGTACCCTTAAGTGAAACCCGAGCACTGAAAAACATGATACATGATATTGTTGTAAGGTGGTTAACAGGTTTGGTAATTTACCCAGGATAATAATCTAGGGCATTGGATGTTAGTATCAGCTATGAAAGAAAGGTGATCTACAATAAGACCTCGATCAAAAACAAGGCGAGAACAAAATAACAAAACCTAATAGCAAATTTATTGCAGAGCAAAAGTTCGAACCAAAGTTGCTAATGGCAAATGAAGGAAGAGTGCGGAACCTGCCTTGTGAATCCGTTGGCCTCGTTTCGTGAAGAAGCGAAGTGAAACGACGACAAGGTTAAAGAATGGGGATGAAGTATTGGAAAACGACCATTGCGCTTGGTGTGGGCGCCATGTCGAAAACAGCCCATATCTCGCTCTATGAGTGGGCGTGTCTATGGATTTTGAGGAAATAGTCGCAATGAATTCCATGACAACGGCTGGGAAACTCACACAGTAGATTGTGTACGAGACCTACCCAATGAGCCAATAGTTGACTCTTTAGGAAAGGAAGGCCTTACCAGTGGGGTGATAAGGCGCCGGAAACCACTTACGGTATGCAGAACCACCTACGTCCCTGATCTCGAAACCTTCCGTTGATAACGTGGCGGTTGCCGTAATTGATAGAAGTGGAGTGGATGAGCTGTTTTTAGCATTCATTGCTGATTTCCAGCGAAGTGTGGAGGAAACGGCTTACTCGCGCCCCTTCCATCGAGTGCAGCCGTCGCCATGTCAAACTCATAGGCACGCTGCACCAGTGACCGTAAAACAAAATACAAGCAGATGAAAATACACTTACATCTCCAACCAATCAACCACTCCTCCCCTCGATTTATCCATCAGTTGCTTATGAATATTTTAACTAGGTCTAGTTAACCGTAATCCTTATTAGAGAGAAAGTGTAGAATTTTCCACATTGTTAATTACTATGCTTACACTGCTAATTAATTTTACGGCTTACAGTCGCTTAAAAGTTTAAAAAAGGAGAAGGCAAATTTCTGGTTAGCTCCCCATGTACATGCAGCTATTAAATTAACACGTTGGAGACCGCGCATGTTTTACGTTTTGCGGCCGCGTGGGACTTCAGTGAAATTTTAGGAATCTTATCAAGCAAATTGGAAGAAAAACCTACTGTATAATGCAGAAGAAACCTTATCGATGAAATGGAAAAAAAAACAAAAGAAAAACCTAATTTGTTTCCAAAATGTGGGCTGTAAGGTCCTACGCGGTCGACGGACTGCAGCCCACATATGGGCTGCGTGGGCTCCAAGGTGTTAATCTTACTTTTCGTGACAAATAACATTAACTAACTGCACAACAGTACCAGGTTATGAAGATTTGTTCATAACCCAGTATTCTTGGTACCTTTGTTTTGCTGTTCTACAGTTCTGAAACACGTACTTTGTGGAACGAGCGGAACTGCTAGCACTTCAGGGAAATTGCGAC